TTCTGGACGTTCTTCTTGATGACGCTGCGCTCGTTTTGTTGTGCTGGATGGTGCGCACTTCTTCCCTCATCTTGGAGATCTGAGGCGGCGTGAACACACCAGTGGTTCCTCTGTTGGGGTTCGTTTCCCAGCTGCGCAGAATCGGGGAGAGGGCGTGTTAGCGGTTTCACTCCCGACAGCGCGACACGCGCGACAAACACGCAACACACCGGTTGAGGATAGATAGGTCCGTACTCGTGAATGCTCTTCAGCTTCTTTTGCGAGAGGTGGGTGTCGTTCTTGCCGCGCTCCTCCAGCTCTCTGAGGTTCTGCTTGAAACGGGCACGCTCCTCCAGATTGGCCCTGATCTTGGCGACGATGACCTCGAGCGCAGACTGCTCTTTCTCTTCGGCAGCCGAGTTCTTCGCTTGTGTGTTGGCTGTACATGAGCATCGGGAACGAGCACTCAGTCAGTTTTGTTTTGTTTTGTTTTGTTTTGTTTTGTTTTGTTTTTGTGTTCACCATCAGAGTCAAGCTTGGTGAGAATGTGGGTAGTGCGGCGGGCGTACCGAGAAGCTCCTGCTTTTCCCTCTCCATCTGCTGGACCTTGGTCTTGAGCGCCGACACTTGAGCTCGCAGGGACTCGACGATCTGCTTGTATTCGGCGACGTGGTAGTTGATGTTGACCACGTTTCGCTTGACTTGCATTCGGATGTTCTTGGCTCTGTTGGCGTACTTGAGCGTGTTGAGCGAGTCCTCGTAGCTGAGTGAGGAGGGGCTCACAGTGGCAATCATCACCGTTCGACAGTTGCCGCCCAGAGAGTCCTTGAGGAGGCGCGTCAACTTGCTGTTGCGGTACGGGACGTGCACCTTGCCGCCCTTCTTCGCTCCCTCGCCCAGAGCATTGATGCAGTTGCCCAAAGCCAGCAGCGACTTGTTGATGTTGGCGCCTTCCTTGAGCCGCGCACCACAGTTGTTGGATACGCACGCGCGCTCTGCATAGGCGAAACGAATGGTGAGTCTCTCTCTCACACACACACACACACACACATTTACGGCAGCAAACGGGATTGATGTTGCCAAAGCAACGGCCGTGTGCGTGTGGTACGGATGACATACCAGACCCCGCCAAATCGATCAAGGCCAGCTTGCCCATCTTCACCGCGGCACGAACGTCGGCAGTGCGGTCTTTCTGCTGAACGGCGACCTGAAGCACAGCATGCGAGCGCGAGGACACTTCGTTGGCGTCCGTCGGAGAAACGGCGCGTCTTGTGTTGCCGCACAACAGCAGGTCCATGATCTGCGAATCGACCAGTTAACAGTTGTGTGAGGAAGAAGCAGGCTGAATGGGGCCAGACCATGGTCCTCCTGGCCTCCTTCGCAGGTGAGAAAAGCGCCAAAAGGAAAGGGGAAGGTACCTCGTCGGCGCTGTCGACTTTGTGTTGCGAGAGGCCGGCCACGACCGCTGTGTCGTTGGAGCTGACGCGCAGCTCGAGAGAGGTCGCGCCCTCGACGAGCAGATCGCGAATCTGTTCGTTGTAGATCTCGAGGTAGGAGATGAAGATGGTGAAGATGGTTTCGTCTCGTCGTTCCTCGATGCGAGCGAAGAGATCCTGCAGCGCCTGCGGCATAACGCCGGGCATGCTGGTGTTGCCGATCATGGTGTGCGTTTTACCAGATCCAGTCGCTCCGTAGGCGAAGACCGTGGCGTTGAAACCGGTCATGACGCCATCTATCAAATGCTAAACTCACGCGCACGTGAAGAAGAGATGAACACGCACGGGGGTAAGCGTTGATGGATTTGACATTGGCCAACAAGTTTTAAAAACAAACGTTAACCCCACCTCCGGGTCCAATCTATAAATAGATAGCTCTGTCGGCCAAACGAGACGACTCTGCTGGCGGTACCTTGGCGGTATGTTCGTAGACTTCAGCCTGCGAGCTGTACTGATCGAATACGCGGTCAAAAATGTAGCGTTGATCGCGCGATCGCCGGAAATGGTCGGGTACGCCTTTACTGTGGGCTGTGCTCGTGTCGGCGGGATCGAAGATGACTACGCGCTCATCGAGCACGCGCACCACCGTCCTGGATTTGGAGCAGTACTTCTCTTTGTCGTTGTCTGGCCGTACTCTGGTGATATGCGCATATATCAACGGAGTAGCTCAAGTGAGTGACCTGAAGAGGATCGATCCCCAGTTCTAACAGAGGAGGAAGAGCGATTCGCGTGTACCTCATGGCGACGATCATGTTAGGATTAGGATCTTTCTCGATAGCAGTATCCATGGAGGTTTGTTAATTATTCTCTTCTTCTCGTGTGCGTTTGCGATTTCTTCTCCCGCCTGTTCTCACGCATACATCCACCAACACCTCCTTCAACGTTGCGCGGCGGCTTGATCGAGGATCGTGCGATCTTCTTTCCTCTCACACTTAGGGAGCTTTTAGAAGGGCCAGCGCGTTCGTAGCGTTGGTTGCGTCTGTTGCGCGCCAAAGGAGTCGTGGTCGTTTGGTTTTGGCGGGAGAGGACGCAACGGCCAGGAATGAAAGGAATGCGCCAGAATTATTATTGTTATTGTTATTATTTTGTAGGCCTTTACGCACTCGGCAGCTCTGGTGGTGGTGGGGGGGCAGGGGCAGCCGTGGAAGAGCTGCTGCTCTGCGACGCAGAAGAAGGAGGCCTTGGGGGTGCGCGCTGGTCGTGGTGTACGAGCACGTGCGCGTGGAAGACGTTTTGGACGCTCTGCAGCGCAGGCGGGTTGACAAAGTAGACAAACTCCTCGTCGGGGACCACGTGCTGCTGGATGAGCTGCTCCAGCTGCTGGGGTGGCAGAGGCTGGAGGCTCCACAGGAGGAAGTGGCTGATGTCGGCTTCCAGGGCGTAGGGGAAGTCGTTCTTGGCCCACACCACGCGCTCGGAGCCTCCGGAGGTCGTGCGGGGAACGCCCTCACCACCGTCGTCGTCGTCAGTTCTTCTTCTTCCGGAAGACGAGGGCACAACAACGTACTTCTTGCCGTCCTCTGGCCGGGTGAGGTAGGGGAAGCCGAACCGGTGGTGCAGGATGAAGTCCCCCACCGTGACGAACTCACTGCGCATGACCTCCGTCTGCTGTCGGTAGCATCCCAGCTGTTCGGGCAGACGGCCCAGCTTCTCGAGCGCGTTGGACGCCATGACCTCCCGCACCTCGGCCCAGCTCAGGCAGTGCCGCACCGTGCCGTCCATGGGCCTGCCAGTCCAAGAAACAAATAAATGAAAGAATCAATAAAGAAGAAGGAAAAAAACATCACGCCCCCTCTTTTATCGGCCGTCGACGTTTATTCGCACAAGCGCAGCAAAGAAGAACGCGAGGAGAAGGAGCGCGAGCGGAAGGAGACAAGAGTCCCTTGGGGGGAGGGGGACTGGATTCGCGGGCCACCACACCCTTAGGCCGACAGCCTCTTCTTGATGTCGTTCTCGAGCTTGACGACATCGGCCACGAACTTGCGAATGCCTTCGGCAAGCTTGAAATCGGCCATCTCGTTTTCGTTGAGAAGGAAGCGGAAAGTCTTCTCGTCGAGGTTGAGCTCCTCGAGATCGGCATTCGCTGCCGCTTCGGGGTTGAGCTTGCGCGGCACGTCGGCATCGGTCGCCTGCAGCTCACCGAGCAGCTGGGGCGAGATGGTGAGCAAATCGCAGCCAGCCAGTTCGATGACCTGCTCCTTGGTCCTGAAGCTTGCGCCCATGACCTGCGTCTTGAAACCATACTTGCGCATGTAGTTGTAGATGCTGGTCACCGAGAGCACACCTTGTACCCACCCATGCGACACGCACAACACGTAACAGGGGGAAGCTGATCAGCATTGAACAGAGTGAGGCGGTGGGAGGTAGGGAGAGTTGTGTGGAGGATAGAGAGGAAGGAGGGAAGACGTGGAGAAAGAGTGCGATGAACTTAGTACCTGGGTCCTCCGAGGGAGGATAAGAGGACTTGCCCTCCTTCTGCTTGTAAAAGTCCGTGATGCGCCCAGCAAAAGGCGAGATCAGCGTCACTCTGCACAGCACACCATAACGCCATTATGGTGGTGTCAATTGGCCGCAGCGCAAGTGGAGCACCAGCATCCCCAATGGGGTTGCGAGAGAAGAGGGGAGGGAGGGAGAGAGGGAGAGAGAGAAGCACGAACCCGTTCTTGCCGGCGAGGGCTGCCTGCTCGACGCAAAACAGCAGGGTCATGTTGACGTGCAGGCCTTCAGCTTCCAGCTGCTTGGCCGCTTGGAGACCCTCCCAGGTGGAAGCGATCTTCAACAGGACGCGGTCGCTGGCAATGCCAGCTTCCTTGTAGAGGGCGATGAGCTCCCTACCCTTGGCAACGTTGGCTTCGGTGTCGAAGGACAGGCGAGCGTCAATCTCGGTGGAGACGCGACCGGGCACGATCTTGAGGATCTCAACGCCGAAGTTCACGAACAGCTTGTCCATGGCTCTTTCAGTCTGTTCGGCGAGCGTCGATCCCTTGCTCTTGCCGTACTGCCAGCACAGCACACAAGCAGTAGCCACGTGGCGATGAGAGAAGTGCAAACAAGCAACAAATGGGGAGGGGGGGGCACAATAAAACACAAATCAAGGCCAGCGTGGTGCACTGCAGAAAAGATCAGCGTGTGGTGGGAGTTGTACCGCAACTGCATCTTCGAGAAGGTGCTGGTACTGCGGCAACTGCGATGCGGCCAACATCAGAGAAGGATTGGTCGTGGCATCCTGCGGCTTGTACTTTTCAATCGAACCGAAGTCGCCAGTGTCGGCAACCACGATGGTGTGCTGCTTCAACTTGTCGAGCGCTGTGGCCATGCTGCTTTGCGTGTGTAAAGAAAGAAGAAACTTGGATTGCTGGTGCTGCGGGCAGCCAGATAAATACTGCTAGTGCTCGGGCCGCCCCGACTGGCTCGCCACCGCCGCCTTCCATACCTCCCATTCTTCGACCGACGCCGCTGTTTCGGGTGGAGCAAGGCAAGAATTTGAATGCAGGCCTTCCAAGCGGGCCGACCAAACGGCGACACGGGAAGAAGAAAATTTGGACTATGCCTGTCTGGCATTCTCTGTGCTTCTTGGGCCGTTGCACGCACCCTCCGAACCGGCTTCACCGCGCTTGGCGAAAAGGGAAGCCTTTTCTTCACCCCGCTTCTCGACACCATGGACAATGGACCATTGTCTTCGCTGCCTCTTCGTCTTTCTTGAGGGAGGCAAGGTGGGTGCGCCCGCGAGACCTCACAACAAAAGAAAACTCACCCAAACCTGCGGGGATCGAGAGATCATGTATTCCTAAAGTCGTAAGCCTCAAGACAACCGGCTGGCGAAATCTCTGCCGGCATCCAACCAGTTACGACTTCTGACTTCCTAATATAGTCAACTTTCTTCTCCGAGCTAAATTTCTCCACGCGAAAACTCGATGCTAACATAACCTTGATAAAACCGGGCATCCCTTGCTGTGTCCGTGTTCCGCTTTGCAATCGTGCAAAGGATGTGCGCGATTGCTACCGCACGTGGGGTCTCGTTACTGCTGCGTCCCGGGCGGCCGGGAAGAGGGCGAAACGAGAGGCCTCTTGATGTCGGCGGCCTGCGCTCGTGGCCCAAACGCGGTCTTGTGCGTGTAAAGATAGTTCATTCCTACCCAAAGCAGCACAAGATTATCGAGAGCCCGTGTGTGTTTGCGGTCGAAACCGAAGAAGAAACGAAATCGATCGGCAACTACGGCACACGTATGAGTCAGAGCCAGGGCCACCCGTCTTCGCGATTAAGCTCTGTACTTCTTCGAGAGCAGCCGCCACAAGGACTAGCAAGCAACGTTGACAGTAACAATGGCTTCGCGGCTGACAGGTTAGACTTAGACTTCTCACTCTATGTGTGTGTGTGTCTGTGTAGTAATGGTGGCGCGGTCTTATATGACGTGCTCCCTTCCGTTGCTAGAGCCATTGGTGTTTTTCCGCCTCCTCCTCAAAGATCTGATCCTCGGAGGGGTTGTTGATCGTTCTTGTGATGTGATTGGAAGATCTTTCCCACATTTTTTATGGTTCGATCAAAGAAACAAACTGACTGGGCGAGGTTTTTTTCGTTGTACGACCAGGCTCGCGCATTACGAGAAAAGATGGCCGAAGGAACACGCGGCCGAGCAAACCCTGAGGGGCTTGGCCGACTGCAGGTCGAGTCCGGAGACCTCGCAGCAGCAGAACGGACATCACCGCCCACTGCTGCCGCCGTTGACCTCGCTACCACTCCGCAGCTCCCCGTCGGCCGGCGGTGGCGGCAAGGAGGACATGCTTCTACCCCCATTGCGCACTTCTCAAGGTTCGTGTGGTGAATGGCCCCCTTCCTGCACACTTTGGCTCTTTCTGACCGTGGGCGCGGTTCCTTCGCCCCCCCCCCCAGAACTGTTACAACCGGCTGTGGCGGTGGCGCCGCCCATTCCCTTCATCCCAACCTCCTTCTCACTCAAGCCCTCGCCATCAACGCTCCTCGGCCTTCACCATTCCAGCCTGCCTTCGTTGGATCGCGCATCGCTGCGGTCAGCATCCTCTCCCACGTACGGCGAGCCAACGCCGGGCAAACGCCTTCCAGAGAAGCTGCCGCCATTTATCCTCGGCGGCGGCGGCCCCGGCGGTCACGACTATCCGATGTACGATGGCCTCATGCCCGTGGATTGGAACAGCTCATCCAGCAAAGTGATTGCCCAGCGTGAGCGGCTCCTCCGCACTGTCATGGATGCATCCGCCACCGCTCGACCCGCCGCCGCCGCCGCCGCCGCCAGGGAGGGAGTAATAGTCGGCGACAACGGCGTTAGCGCAGCCGCTCCATCTGCCGAGCCCAGGGCGGCGGCCGTCATCTCTACCTCCGGCGGCGGTCTCGGGATCGCTCCTACGACTACGACAACAGCCATGACCACCATGGAGGACTCTGAGGAAGGCTACCGGGAGGGCTTCATGGATGGCTACAAAGAAGGCCGGAAGGAGGGCTACGAGGGAACGCACCACTTCAAGGAGGCCTATCGCGACGGATTCCGCGAGGGGCGGACGGGCGGCTACATCGACGGCAAGCAGGAAGGCTATCGAGGCGGCCGCATCGATGGTGCGCTTGCCACGAGCCTTGACGAGGAATGGGACATCGATCAATATGGCAACATGCTCGACTCCGAGGCCACCCGTGGCTGGCGCGGGCAGGCGCTCCCCCCTCTTCGACGAGCGAAGCTGCACGCCGGCAATGGCGCTGCTGTGCCGCCGCCGCCAGCCCTGCCGCCGGCTCATCAGCAACATCACCCCAGCCGACCACAGAGCGCAGTCTGGGAGCGAGTACCGGCCGACAAGGGAGCGAGCAACGACCGCGTCAGTTCCGTCTCCATCAATTTCGATTTTAGCGGACCAACGACCTCCCAGCAGCATGATCACGGCACCCACCGACATCACCATCACCATCACCACAGCCACAGCCACAGCCACAACCATCGTCACCACCACTACCACAGCCACAATCACCACGATCACGGCGACCCTCATCGATGTTCACGAGTGGACGTGGAAGACTCAGGAGAAGGGAGGAGGCGAGACGACGACACCAACAACCCCTGCGGGCGGACCGGCAGCGATACGCACGACGAAAAGGACATCGCCGAGAGCTTCGGGGAGGAAAGCAGAGACCTTAGACGAACAGACGAACGGGACGGAGGAGAAAATAAGAAGAAGAGGAAGAAGCGAAAACGCGAGGCAGAGGCCCGCCGCGACGGAAACCCGACCGACCGATTCGACGCAACGTTGCGGGACAGCAAGAAGCGGCCACGGAGTGAACATTCCGCAGCCAGTCCGCCCGACAGCACAGACAGCGAGAAGAAAAGAAAGAGGGCTACGCGAGAACAGCTCGACATCCTTGAACGAGTGTTTGAGCAGGTACCAATTGCCTTCCCCCCCCCTCATTCACACAACTGGTCCGCCGCACGTGCCTCACCTCGCACCATTCCAACACACCGCCGGATTCACTCGTGCAGGAAGAGCTACCTCACGAACGAGAAGGAAGGAGTTAGCCAATGAACTGGGCTTCAGTCCTCGCCGGATCCAGATCTGGTACCCACCACCACCGCGCCAATGTGATGCTATCATGGCCAGTGCTAGCGGCGGCAGAGGACGAAGAAGAAGCTAAACAACGCGCGATGCCCCCTTCCCCAAAACAGGTTCCAGAATAGGAGGGCCAAGTCGAAAAAGAAGGAAGGAAAGCAGTACGTCATGGTGAACTACGGCAAGCACTCCTTCAAGAAGGAACCGAGGGAGAATGCCAAGCAGAACGGCGGCGGGCCTGGTGTAGCCGACTAGGCGCACCTGGTGTCCTGTCCTGGCGGCGGCACTCCCGAACATGATGTGTCGCATCATCGGCCTCCCTCTCTCGGGTTAAAAACAAAAACTTGTACAATCCAGGCCGGCTGGTGTGCCTGTGGTGGTACCAAAAGGTTTTCCCGCGAAGACCAACAGTGGGGAACCTTCGTTCGCCTTTCTCACGCGGTCGCCCATTGGTCCGGAGGGGTAAGCTTTTTCGGCCTATTTTTAATTTCATTTCGGGGCCGACTCCGCTCTTCTTGGAGTGACATTTTTTTGTTGTTGCGTCCGGTCTCTGCCTCTTCCGATTATTACGAGCGGCTAGGCCGTTAACCGTTTGTCTGCTGGAAGAAGGCGAAGAAGAAAGATCGGAACAGAAGATGACGACGATCCGTGACCTGGTACAAAATTACGTGATTGACACGACCTACTGGACGGGACCCGATCCAACGTGGAATCAAGTCTATGCTACGCGCATCGCGGCCGTCGTGGCTCTCGGCACCCTCTACGCCTTCTTGTTCAAGCTGCTTTACGTCGTCTGCGAGGCACTCTCCTACCGTCTCTTCCGCAAGTATAAGTCTCTTAACGAGATGCAGAAAGTCGATTGGACCTCGCGGTACGTCGACGTAGTCGTCACAAGACGCGTTTTTTGTGTCTTAGTCCTACTTTCAATCGCTAAATGAAATGATATAATTTTCATTTGACAATTTCGATGATCATTTTTTTTTAACTTCATTTATTGTATTGGGTCGGTTGCTTTCCACGCAGGGTGGTAGCCATGTTCTTCATTATTGTCAACACGTACCAGGCCTACCTTCTCATCGGCGAGGTAAGTGTTCACCTTCCGCCGTGGTCCCCGCGCCTACAATCAACCGTATTGACCACCTTCCTGCTTCCTCCTGCAATCACAGAGCCACCACTCCATCGTGCCGGTGGAGGGCACCGATCCGACCAACTGGGACACCGGTTTGTGCGCTCTTTTCCTATCATGCTGCTGCTGCTGCTGCTGCTGCTATCGCGGCTGGGATGGTATCGTTAACCACTTGCTCTCTCTCCCCTCCGCTTCCTACCTTTTGGCGCATATCCGCTCATGAGCAGCTCAGTGGCGGCTGGACACAACCGTGACGGACAACTGCCTCTACCTGCTGTATCTCTACTATGTCTTCGTGTTCGCCTACGAGCTGTACGACCTCAAGAACTGCTGGGACATTCGAATGATGTCTGGCGTGCTCCACCATGTCGTCCTCCTCATCATCATTCCCATGAACTGGGTACGTGCAACCGCGAGAAGCGCACTGTTCTCTCCCATATTCTTCCCGCCAGCTCGAGTGTGCTGACTTTCTCACCTCTCTCCCTCCGTGGTCGTCATCACGATCACAGCCCATTACGCTTATTGCCGTTCCTAGCGTGTGGATGACTGTGTGCACCTACTTCACCAACATTCCCGCTCACATCCGTTCGTTCATGGTGCACTTGGGTAAGTGTGTGCATGCATCGTTGTGTGCATTCCAGCGGCGCCGTAGATATATAGATGGAGTAACCCGCTGACCACCAAACGGCGTGTGTGTTCGTTTCGCGACTTCCACCCCTCTCCCCCACTCCAGGATACCGCGACACCAAGTTTTACACTTACAACAAGTGGGCCTGGTGGATCTCGTACATCGTATTCCGACTGTTCGGCATCCCGTGGTTCTCGTCGGTGATGTGGTTCACCATCGCACCCATGAAGGCCCAGTCGCCCATGTTCCCCATCGTCTACTATTTTGCTGCCATGGCTGTCCACTACTCCCTTTCGCTCTACTGGTACGGCGCACACTGTGATCATTATCATCATGTTGTGTATGTGCGTGTGTGCGTGTGTGCGTGTGTGCGGAGATTCTACTCTCTCTCTCTCTCCTCAGTGCTAGACAGCATCCTTCTTCTTCTGGTGACTGACTCAATCGTGCCGTTTGGATGTTTTTTTCTGGTCACCTAGGTTCGTGGAGATGACCAAGACCATGTTCCCGGTGTCGAGGGAGATGAAGAGGGTGGGCAGCTATGCCCTGGTCCCCAAGCTTGCCGACAAGTCGAAGCGTAACCGTGGCGGTGAGAGCGAGAGCGAGAGCGGCGAAGACGAGGGTGGCCAGAAGTTCGACTGAAGTGCTGAAGACCACCAGCAGCGGGCCGAGGCGGCGGAGAGGTCGGCCAGGAGCTGAGTGTGGCAGCAGTGAATGGTTTCCCCGTCCGAAAAATAGGCTTCGTACGCAGTGAAGTGCCTCCTATCTCCAATTTTTTTAAAACCTTTTCCTGAGTTTTTTCCGCTTTTTGGGCTCGGGCGGAGTGCAAATAATCTGTGATTTCGGTAGTGTGTTTTCTTGTGGCAGCTGCAATGGACGATCGCATCTCGCTTGGTGTTGACACCAATTGCGTGCCCGATATAGAGGAGACGCTCCAATTTTCGCGTTCCTCTGGGTATGACTTTATTTCGGTGCCGCTCGTTCATCCGCGCTACAGGAGGCCCTTCGACGCCCTCGTGATCAAGCGCGATGAGCCGCTCACGCGCTCTGACACCCTGCTCGGCTCGAACGACTGGACGACCAGCGTCATCGGAAAGATTTCGCCCTGGCTCGATTGTGATTCTGAGAGTGCTGCGATCAGGACCCGCTCCGAGAAGGTGTGCCCTTCCTCTCTCCTTTCTCGATCTGCGTTGAGATCTCATTTCATCTCATTTCTCTGCTGGGCCGAATTCACACAATTTAAAATTAACACATTAATAATTTCTTCCCATGTGCGTAGGCCTTCAAGCAGGAGGTGGCGTGGGCGACCCATTTGGGCCTGCACGCTGTAATGCTGCCCGCACCCCGCTTCCACTCGACCAACTACTCGCACGTCATCAACCACGTCGCAAGCAACCTCTCGTACATGCAGGCCTGGGTCAAGATTCCACTTGTTGCGCCAGAGGTCCTTCTTCAGGTTAGGACCTCCCTCTTTTCTCTCTCTCTCTCTCTCTACTTTGGCTGGAAGCGGCATTGTCAACTCTTCTCCCGATCCATCAATTTGCTTGCCTCAATCTTACTGATTATATGAATTTATTACTAAATAATTCAAGGATGACGATCACCAGCAGTCAGAGCAAGAAGCACGAGAGACCGATCCTTGGGAGTGGTGGAACAACCTCCGCCTCTTGGCTGAGCACAACTCCAACATGGGCGTAGGTACTGAGATCTCTCCGCCCTCTCCTCCCAATTCGAACCTCAATGCTTGCCCACATCAACGCTCTCCCTGGCGAGAGACCAACCTTCGCTCACCACTCTCTTTTTCTTCTTCCATGCGGCGTGCTTCCTGGCTCCTCCTCTGGACCCACCCACTAGCCCTGGAGCTGACTGCGGACTTGCCCGGCGAGAAGGCGCTGAAGAGGTGGCTCGGCGAGCCCGTCAAGGCCGTCATTCTGCCCACGAGCATCTTCCTGACGAACAAGTTGGGTTACCCCACGCTTTCCAAGAAGCACCAGGCCTTCCTCTGCCGTTTGTTCAGGGTACTCCCGCCCCACCACCACGACCACCACCCACCACCACGCTATCGAATCTCCAATGATCGTTTGGTTGGCCAGCCTGAACTTTTCCAGTGCTCGCATGTGGATAACCGCCAGCTCACCTCGCCTTGATACTCTCTCTCTCTCTCTAGTATCGTCTGCAATTCATCGTGACCGGATCGCCGCACCACAAGGACGGACTCTCGGCTTACCAGCAGTACATCCGCTTCCTGCACCGCAAGCAGTCGCCCCTCACCGACCAGGAGCACTTCGAGGCGCCCTACTGGGACTACCTCCAGGCTCCGCTCCAGCCCCTGATGGACAACCTGGAGTCACAGACGTATGAGACCTTCGAGAGGGATCCCGTCAAGTACCGCGAATATGAGCGGGCCTGCTTTGAAGGTAAGACCGTTTCGCTCCACCGTTCTCGAGGCCTATCTCGCTTGCTCACCCCACCCTAAAAGGAGTTTTAATGATTACTCGGCGAGAATACTAACGCCTTGACATCGGTCGTGACCGCCCGTGCACACACAGCTTTGAAGAAGAGGGGCAAAGATGAGGAGACCGTCCTCATGGTGGTTGGCGCCGGCCGAGGCCCTCTGGTTGCCGGGGCTCTCCGCGCCGCTAAACAGGCCGAGCGAAAGCTGAAGGTGTACGCCGTCGACAAGAACCCCAACGCTGTCATCACCCTTCGCAACCGCAAGGTCGCCGAGGGCTGGGACAATGTGACCGTGGTCGACACCGACATGAGGGTGTGGAACGCCCCAGAGAAGGCCGATATCCTCGTCAGCGAGCTCCTTGGTTCCTTCGGTGACAACGAGCTGTCGCCCGAGTGTCTGGATGGCGCCCAGAAGTTCCTCAAGGGTATGCATTCATCCTTAGGCTCTTCCTCTCTGTGGCGACAAGACGAAGTGCCGCCTGAAGGGTCCTTAGCACGCAGCCCTTGTTACGCTGTCCTAACTGATGCGCGCGCGCACAGAAATCGGTGGCATCAGTATTCCGAGCGCGTACACGTCCTATTTGGCTCCGCTCAGTTCGTCCAAGCTCTACAATGAAGTGAAGGCGTACAACGACCGGAAGCACTTTGAGACGGCCTATGTCGTCAAGTTCCACAACACCGACCAGTTGGCTGAGGCCAAGCCTTGCTTCACCTTCACGCATCCCAACAGGTCCCCCCCCAAATTCCCCACCGACACGATTGCGCGCGAGTACTAACGCTATTTCACGGTACTACCCGAATTCTAATCACCAGGGCTGCGCTGATCGACAACAGCCGCTACACCAAGCTCTCGTGGGTCATCGAAGAGGCCTCTACCCTGCACGGTTTTGGCGGTTACTTTGATGCCACGCTGTTCGAAGAAGTCCATCTCAGTACGCATCCCTCCTACGTTGCTCTTTCAAAGCACTTCGCTTTGTCGGTTTTTTATAACCCTAAGCGCATACTCACCCCTTCGACAGGCATCAACCCCGCCACCTTCTCTGAGGGCATGATCAGTTG